GTATAATTGTTGTAAATCTATAATTGTCTCAAAATAAAATATTTAGGGAAAATATATCTATTAATCAAATATTTAAATTTATATTCTGAGTTTCAACTGCATGAAACAAATAAATATTATCATAATTAAAAAAAGAAGCATTTAAATTCACAAACCTACAATTTTTAAAATTTTACTCAGTTATCCCTTTTCCTCCATTACCCTCCCCTGCCCAGCTCACCACCCCCACATCCAATCCCCCCGCCCCCATTGTCCTTGTCTATGGGTCTTTTATACCTTTTCCCTGACCCTTTCCCTTCTTTCCCCCATTATTCCCCTCCCCCCTCCATTCTGGTCAGTCAGTTTATTCTTTATTTCAATGTCTCTGGTTCTATTTTGCTCGCTTGTTTGTTTTGTTGATTAGGTTCCACTTATAGGTGAGATCATATCAATATATGCAGAAAAAGCATTTGACAAAATCCAACATTCATTATAAAAATTATCAGCAAAACGGGGACAGTGGAAACATACCTCACCAAAATAAAGAACATATATGACAAATTCACAACATCATAGTCAACAGGAAAAAGCTGAGAGATTTGTTTTTAAGATGAAAAACAAGACAAGGATGTCCACTTTCACCACTTTTATTCAACATAGTGTTGGAAATCCTAGCCACAGCAATCAAACAAGACAGAAAAAGCATCCAAATTGGAAAGGAATAAGTAAAACTGTCACTGTTTTCAAATGACATAATACTATATAAAGAGAATCCTAAAATAATCCACCAAAAAAAATCTATTAGAAATAGAAAAATGAATTCAGTAGAGTAGCAGGATACAAATAAATGTTCAGAAATTGGTTGCATTTTTATACACTGATAACAAACTATCAGAAAGATAAATTAAGAAAATAATCCCCTTTATAATTTCATCATAAAGAATAAAATACCTAGAAATAAATTTAAACAAGAAGGGAAAAGACCTGTACTTGAAAAACTGTAAGACTCTGAAGGAAGAAACTGAAGGAGATAAAAATAAATGGAAGGTTATACCGTGCTCATGGATAGGAAGAATTAACACCATTAAAATGCTCATACTACCCAAAGCAATCTACAGAGTCAATGCAATCCCTATCAAAACACCAATGGCATTTTTGCAGAACTAGAATGAAAGACCCCAGCTAGCCAAAGCAATCTTGAGAAAGGAGAACAAAGTTGGCGGTATCACACTATCTGATCTCAAACTATACTACAAGGCCGTAGTAATCAAAACAGCATGGTACTGGCATAAAAACAGACACACAGATCAATTGAACAGAATAGAAAGCCCAGAAGTTAACCCAAACCTATCATATGGTAATTTAATCTATGACAAAGGAGGCAAGAATTTACAGTGTGATAATGACAGTCTCTTCAATAAATGGTGTTGGGAAAACTAGACAGATACATTTAAAAAAATGAAACTGGATCACTTTCTCATACCATATACAAAAATAAACTCAAAAGGAATTAAAGACTTAAATATAAGAGCCAAAATTATAATACTCCTAGATGAAAACAGAGGCAGTAACTCTTTGATATTGCTCTTAGTAATATTTGTTTTGGATATGCCTTCTCAGGCATGGGAAACAAATGAAATAAATGAATAAACAAGTGTTACCTCGAACTAAATGTTTTGCAGAGCGAAGAAACAAGCAAAAAGACAATGTACTAAATGGAAGAAGACATTCATCAATGATACAATCAATAAGGGGTTAATATTCAAAATATATAGGGAACTCATATAACTTAGCAGCAAAAACAAACAGTCTAATTAGCAAATGTGCAGAGGACCTGAATGGAGAGTTCTCCAAAGAGGACATAGAGATGGCCAAGAGACACATGAAAAGCTGTTCAACATCCCTAATCGTCAGGGAAATGGAAATTAAAACCACAATGAGACATCACATCACACCTCTCAGAATGATGATCATCAACAAATCAACAAATTACAAGTGTCAGTGAGGAGTTTGAGAAAAGAGAACCTTTGTACGCTGTTGGTGGGATTGTAAATTGGTGCAGCCACTATGAAAAACAAGATGAAGCTTCCTCAAAAAATTAAAAATAGAACAGCCTTATGACAAAGTGATTCCACTTCTGGGTGTTATCTGAAGAAACCCAAAATATCAATTCCAAAAGATATATGCATACCCATGTTTGTTGCAGCATTATTTACAATAGCCAAGATATGGAAGCAGCCTAATTGCCCATCAATAGACAAATGGATTAACTGGTGTAATATATACAATGGAATATTACTCAGCCAAAAAAAGAATAAAATCTTGCCATTTTACAACAACATGAATAGACTAGAGGGTATTATGCTAAGTTAAGTAAGTCAGACAGAGGAAAAAAAATACCATATGATTTCACTTATAGGGGGAATCTAAAAAAACAAAATAAATGAACAAAGAAAAACAAAAACAAACTCAGAGATAGAGGACAAATTGATGGTTGTCCATTGAGAGGGGGTTTAGAGGTATGTGTGGAAAAGGTGAAAGGGATTAAGAACTACAAATTATCAGTTATAAAAATAGTCACAGGGATGTAAAGTACAGCACAGGATATAGAGTCAATAACATCGTAATATCTCTGGTGTCAAATGGGTATTAGATTTATAGGGGTTATCACTTCAAAAGTTATATAAATGTCTAGCCACTATGTTGTACATCAGAAACTAATATAATATTGTATACCCACTGTAAATTAAAAATAAAAAATTTTAATTGTCCTTTAAAAAAAACTCTTAATTTCAGGTCTGTAATGTCTAGGTTATTTTTCTAGGCCTTATCTCTCACTCCACTGATTACAATACGACTGACTTGTTAATTTCTTCAATGTTGGAAATCTAGCAACCTTATTGCTGAGAACTATGCTACTTCCTTGCAATATCTTCTTTCCTTTCTTAGAGAAAACATTGTAATTGCCCTACTGCTGACTATTTCATGTTATGAATTTATTAATAGTTCTCATAATTATGCCATTCTGTACTTTTTCTCTAAGTATTTTTTATCTGCTTCCTAATTATATATTTCTAAGAAGACTGTTCCTTACTAAATTTAATTATGTAATATAAAAATATTAAAATTATGGCATCCAGGTGATAGCTTTTTCCTCCTGCAAGAGTGTATTGTCATGTGTTTCAGAGAGAGAAAGGCAGTGACCTTTAGGTCCTGTGGGAATTTACAGTAAAGGTGGGGCCAACAGTTTTCTTGAGAAGTTGTAAGTCCAAAAACCTCAAATTTTAAGATACTAAATTCATACCTGAAATGAACTAGCTCTTGTTCTTAATTTTTCATCTCTGTCTTGTCCTGGAGCAACATTTTTATTCTAAAGGGAAACTTAAAATAAAAACATTTATTTTTAATAAGAACTCTTTCTCCCCCTAGCAGGGTAAGCATTTATTTTTTTAATCTGGAGCCTTCATGTTGAATTATATTATAAATTCAGTTTACAAGTCCTTGTTAGAGGCACCTTCAGCTGACATGCTGTGGAGTGGTGTCGCCTCTTGTAATGGCAAAATTCATCTCTTAAGATCATTCAATTTTCTGACCCCTCTCTTAAACTCCTGTAACATAAAGGCTCGCTATGCTCCAAATACTACTTGTAGAGACACGTTATAAAGCCATAAAGCTTTCCCAGCCCTACCCCACCTGCCCCACCCCGCCACTCCACACCTCTCCCCCCTCTTCTCTTACACACACACACACACACACACACACACACACACACACACACACCCCCGCCTCCCCATATACCACAAACACAGGTTTAGAAAGCTGAGCTCCTTTGAAAGGCTGATGGTCAAAAATGGCTCCTCTCTGCCCCTACTCAACATTCCCACCCATATCACCTCTCCCCTCTGACCCTTCTGACCTAAATCCTACATCACAAATGAGAGCAGCCGACTCCAAAAATATCTTAGCACCAAGACAAATTGCATTATAGCACATTGATATCAGTGCATTACATGCAGCACATGCTATTTTAATGTAAACTGAAAGAGAAAACTTGAAAAAGAAATTGCCTATCGAGTGCTCTGAAAATAGTAGCTACAGAATTCTTCATTCTAAATAGTAAAGAAAAACGACATAAGCAATCACTAATATTATCCAACATAAGTAAATGAAAATGTGCAAGCAAAAAATAATGCTACAAATACGCTACTCCAAATTTCATTAAAGGCAACACAATAGCCAGCTCATTTTTTTTAAATCAACAATAAATTGGACTTCTAGTTCTAATGCCAATTCATCATATGGAATGTTGACATTAAACTTTCTCATGAATCCAGATTACTAACTTGTAACTACACAAACCTTCTCTCTTAAAATAGTACCACATAATTTTCTTTAAGTAGCTGATCTTTATTTGCTACATTCTAAAAGGTAAACTCTAAAGGATAACAAACTTAAAGTAATATATCAAATAATTCAGACTTCTGCGTAAGAAAAGTATCATTGCTAATAAGATAGTAAAGGCGACCTTAATATTGCTTTGTTGAAAAAATTCATTTATTTCTACTGCAAATTGTACTTGACAGGCATTAAATTGTAGGGAAAAAGGAAAGTCAGGGCCAAAACAAAAACTGATAGTGGTTAAATATGTCTGAAGGTTGTAACATATATGTTACAATAAGGTTGTAACATATAAAATTAAACACAAAACAATCAGCATGTCAACTAGTGTTAAAACAGCCAATATACAGAAAATGTTGGTTTCTATAATGTATCCCTGATGTTGCAAGATTAGCAATAAAAAACAATTTTCCCAGGAATTTCAATAAAGAAAAACCTTTGAATAATAATACAAGTCTCAAAAATATCAAGGAAATATAATCCAGAGAGAAAGAATCCAAACATTAAAATCACTATTTGAGGAATGGTCTTTACAACCCATTCATTGAATTCAAAGAATCAGAAGAAGTATAATTTAATTTAATTTACCAACTTTCTTAAAGCACACATCAGCCAGTCTTTGCTTAAGATTCTTTACATTCTTCCGTCACATCTTCAGTCTCCTGTTCATCTGCATATTAAAAACAACAACCAAAGTTGTTAGGCAATCAGAAATGTGTACATAATTCAGAAAAAGTCATTCAGCCTGTATAACATAAAATCCTTTTACACATGAGACAAAAATCACATTTTCATTTATTATTTATTGGACAGCCATCACAAGCTGCACACAAAGTCCACAAGAACAAATGAAAAATAAGGTGCTTGCCTTCATTGAGAATATAGTTGGCCAAGAATTTTTTGGGTTTTGAAAGCTAAAATGATTATGGATCTGGAGACAGCACCAAAAAACATTTTTTTTTCTTTAAGTGTCTGGAAAGTAGGGCAAAACCAAAAGTAAATAACATGTAGAGTAGGTAAGAACTAATCACCTTTCATTTCTTCAAAATTTTCACAGTAACAGAAATGAAATGGAAATACTCTTCTGCCAACCTTAGTGAGAAGGTTATCATAAAAGGCAGAATTGACAATAGAACCAAAGAAAAGAAGGCAATATAAAAGAATCAGGAAAGAATGGAATCCTCACACATTGCTGGTGAGAATCCAAAATGGTGCAGCCACTTTGGAAAACAGTCTGGCAGTTTCCAAAAAGGTTCCCATAAACCCAGCAATTCTATTCCTAGGCATATGCCCAAGAGAGAAGCATACATCACCCAAAAACCTGTACAGCAATATTCATAGCAGCATTGCACGTAACAGCCAAAAAATTAGAAACAACCCAAATGTCCATCAACTAATGAGTGGATAAATAGAATGTGGCGTATATCCATACAGCAGTATACTATTCAACAACAAAATAATGGAGTATTGATACATGCTACAGCATGGTTAAACATTGAAAACATCAGGTTAACTGTGTGCAGCCAGACACAAAAGGCCACATATAGTATGACTCCACTTTATACGAAATGTCCAGGCTAGGCAAATTCATAGAAACAGAAAGTCAATCAGTGGTTGCTTAGGGCAGGGGGGTTGGGAAAAATGGAGAGTGGCTGCCAATTGGTACAGTGTTTGTTTTGGGGGGTGAAGAACATGTTGTAAAATTGATAGTTATAAAGAAGGCACAATTCTGTGACTATACTAAAAACCACTGAATTGTATAGTATTGTTAAACAGTGGCCAAAAAAATTTACATCCATATTCTTATCCCTGAAACCTGTGAAAGTTACCTTACTTGGAGGAAAGGGTTTTTGCAGATGTAACTAAGCTAAGGATCTTGAGATAAGACTATTGATCATCTTGGATTATCCAGGTGGGCCCTCTATTCAGTAACAAATGCCCTTATAAAAGAAGGCCATTTGACACACACAGAAAGAAGGGGAAAGGAGAAGGAGGAGGGGAGAGAGAGGAGCAATGTGAAGACAGGCAGAAGAGTGCTATGACCCCAAAGCCAGGAAGCCAAAGAGAGTCACAGACTAAAACACGGGGAGAAGGAAGCACTCTCCTCTAGAGTCTCCAGGCAGAGCGCGGCCTTGATTTCAGACTTCAGGCCTCCAGGACTAAGAGATAATAAATTTCTGTTGTACTAATTTGTTGTGGCAACCATAGGAATCTAGTACATGTTTATAAAATACATGTCAACAAAGCTGTTATTTTTTAAATATCAACCTCGTGATTATGGGTGAATGATTTGTAGTTGCAGAGAGTAAAGTGGAAAATGTAGTAATATTGTCAATCCATGGAGAAAAAATATTAAACAGGATATAGAGGAAGTTGGGATAGATCAGTAACATTCTGCAATATCCCACACCTAAGATGAGGAACGATAGGGCCATGACCCCATGCTTTCGTAAGTGCTAGTCCTCCTACCCGGAGTGTGCTCTGTCATGCCCACCCAGGAAACGACCAATCATCCTTAGAGGCTCAACTTCAATGTCCCCTCCCCACCCCCAGTTTCCATCATTCCCTCTCTAGTGCTGCCATGTACTTTGTCCTGGAACTCTTATTATAGTTGTCCCAGCCTACTGTGATTATGCCTGACCCCGCCGTAATCATCAGCTGACATGCCTGCCTTCATGAACAGATTATGAAATAATTCAGAGCAATGACTATGTCCTACTCACCCGATATCCTAGGACAATGTCTTTCGCAGACAAACACGATGGAGCCCTGGGGCAGTGGTGCTCAAGCATGGCTACACAACCAAATCACCCAGACCCCGTCCCTAGAAACTGGCTTTAAAAATGCTGATGTCTACAGCCAACCCTTAGAAATGTATTTAATTCCTCTGGGGTGGAACTGAAGCATTAATGTTTTAAATCTCACCAAGTGATTCTAACGTGCGGCCAGAGGTTAAGAAATGCTGCCTAAGGAATGGACTCAGAACAGCTTAAATGCCTGACAGATCAGAGGAAGATATCAAGCAGGAAAGTCTAAAAATCAAAAATATACAATGCACAGATGATCCCATACTTACTATATGTGTCTACAAATTCAATATTAACCATGAAAGAGGGAAGAATTCAAGCTGGAGTGTGCTTGCTCTCAGTGGCTACAAGGAAGGGTGACCAAAGGAAGGACAATGGGCTGGCTGCAGAGATAAGAAGACAATCTGGAACAGGCAGTAGCTTCAGCAACAAGAAATTTAAGAGAAGAGCAGGGATTGAGCTGATGTGAAAAAAAGAAAACCTTTGGACATTATTTTCATCACCACCATATCTGCTAGTATTTTTTACAATCCTAAAGTAGAATGACCAGTAAACCATCCAGTCCAGAGCTTCTCACAATGTAAAGTGCATGCAAATCACCTTCTGGGGCATCTTGTTAAAGTGCATACTCAGATGCGGACTGGGGCCTGGGATTTGGCATTTCTAACAAGATCCCAGGTAATAACAACACTGCTGGTCCATAGGTCTAGTCTACAGTCATGATCTTCAGTAACTTTTCATTTTACCCAATTTGAATGAAGCAATGGAATCAGAAGTTCCCAATAACTGATCTAGTGATAAGCACTACAATTAAATATTAAAGCTCTCCAATTTGCCATCATTCACTTGATAGTAGTAACAAAATGATAGTGATATTTCATAAGTAAATAGAGGAAATAAGTAACAAATATTTACATGAAAAGTCTACATCATGAAGAACTAGAGGAAAAAAATTAAAAAGTAACTTAAAAAGATAAAGTCATCAAATATAAACTTACTATGTACCAAAGTCTTACATAAAAATGAATTAACATTAAAAATTTCTAATATGGCAGCCTCAGATAATTTGATCAAATAAACTGGATGAGGGTTGATTAAGTCACTAAGAACACCTAGGAAGCAATTAGCCACCTTGGAAAAGTAATTTAACAAATAATAACTAGGAAGCCTGAAGGCGCACGCTGGTTGAGGATAACAGAACCCCATCAAAGCAACGAGTTAAGTATTTTCCTAAAAGTGAGCCAAAAATTTTTAAGGAAAAAAAAGTCAGCTAATAGTGTTACTATTTTTAGAATCTCACTGCTTCACTGTCAATCAATAAGACAATATTAAAACAAAGAAAACTTTCTCAAAATAATCTAGTTTCTTTGAAACTATTCAGGTGATATAAGCAATAACATACTAATGCACGTCAAACCACTGCAACATCCTTCCCGAAAGTCAATCCACATGTAACTTGGCTTCATCAAACAAGTTGCAATCAAATAGACCATTTGATGGGCAGAATTTCAATATAAAGCATATTCAAATTGTATACTTGCCATTTTTGGTAGAACTTGTTCTCTCTGAGGGCAAGCAGTTAACAATTAGCTTTCTTACATCTAAACTGAAACCCATATTTCTCAAATATGCATAGCAAAATCTTGTAGCTTTTATTAATTTGACAGGCTGAATGTTCCATACCAAGGACTTTGATTTCAGTAAGTCTGGCTAGGGTCTGGGACATAGGTATAAAACAAGCAAAAACTCCCCAGAAGATCCCAGTGCTCATCCCAGTTAGAAATAAATGCTCTGTGGTTTGTAACAGTGTTTCCGAAACTTCATGTATGTATCACCAGAGGAACCTATTAAAGTGCAAATTCTGATTCAGTAGGTTTGAGGTGGGGCCTAATGAGCCCCCAGTATTTGGACCTCATTGTAAGCAGCAAAGGCTTACAACATGGGATGGAAATCCCAGGGTTCCCAGGGGCAGAGAACATGAAGTGGAGAAGACCAGATGGGGGCCACGGAGAGTGTATGTTCCTTCCAAGGGAACATCTGCTACTCAGCTTCCCTCACTGATGGAAGGACCTGTTGATTTGTTAGAAAAGTCAGAAATCCAGGCTCTCATGGGAAATCTCCTGATTAAATGTCAAATACCATGTAAGCCAACCAAGTCCAGTCACATTAATCACGTATGTAAATTTTCTCACTTCCTCCTTATGACAGCCCTATGGGGTAAATATTAAAGCCATCTTATCCCATAGATAAGGCAACCAAGGTGTACAGGAGAGAGATTAAATAATTTGCCTAAGATCACCTGCTACTAGCGGAGCAAGGATCCAAACCCAGGTGCGCCTCACCCAGAGCCCATGCTCTTAAACACCAGGCGTGGAACACACCGGCACACGGGCAAGCCAGGCGTCCCTCTGCCCACCTCGGTACTAGCCTGGACTCTCTTGGCTTTCCTCTTTGGATAACTAATTTGCTCTATGGTTTTATGTTCTCAGTGTCCATTTAGAGCAACCAACTATCCCAGTTGGCGAGGGACGGAGGGTTTCCTGGGACAAGGAACATTCAGTGGTAAAACCAGGATCCTCCAAAGCAAACCAAGACATTTGGTCATCCTAGTTTTCATTTAAGGAATATGTCCTACATTATCATTTTAGTGCATGTTAGCATATCTGAAGTTGGAGTTTTTAAAAATTTTACACTCATATAAAACAACCTTATGGGAATTATTGCTTGAGTTTATTATAGAATTTTTTGAGACCAATATTCACTAAATGGGTCCTGTGGAAATTTCCACTTTCCTTGAAGAATTAGTATAGTTCTGCCTTGCTTCTTTACTACCTTTGTGTTCCTTTCTGCCCTATTTTAATTTGTTATTCATCTTTTCCTCTTTATTATATAAATTTCTGTTGAAAACTAGCTCAAATGGTTAGTAGCAAAAAGAGAATACTGTACGTGCAGAGATACCTTTTTTATTATGTAGAAAGCAAATCAGCGTATGATAATTTGATTCAATAGTAGACTATCTACAGACCTGAGGTGTTTCCTTTCTGAAGGGCCAGTGTACCAATGGTGTCTCCAAGGTGGATACCAAGGAACACTTACTCCCCAGTCTCCTCACACTCCACGTGGAGGAACTGACAGTGGGAAGCATCGGCCAAACTCCACCCTCCACCCCCACCCCCACCCCCACCCCCACCCCCCGCACTCTTCCCATGGGAAGAAGAGCCAGTTATCTGATCAGTGGGTTTGGGTGGCTCAAAGGAAATCAGCGCCCTACCCCAAAGACGCTTCTTTGCCTCTCCATACTACTGAGTCTACATGGACAGGTCCCCACAGGTGAGGCTTGGTTTTTCACCTCTGTCAGTGACTGGGGGCGTGCATTTATTTGGGAAGGCACAGTGTCAGGAAGACTGTTTGGCTGCCTACCTAAGTCACAACAATCCCCTACATTTCATTAGCAATAAAGCTGACCTCTTCAATCTCCATTCATTGGAATCCATCTATTATCTCTCAATGGGTTCTGATCTGGGTAAGGAAGGGAAGATGCTATTTATGGATCCCCTAGAATCCCAATAGTGAGTGAGTACAACTAAACTTCCTGGACCTCCCACACAGAATCCAAATAGCAGTAGTTACCATTAAGTTTAAAGCACAAATTTGAAACATGATGTATTTCACATTTGAAACTTCATATAACTGTGAACCAAATCCTTGTTTTTCAACACCACAATTTAAATTGGTCCTCAATGCCATGGAGGTTCTATTTTTTAAGTGTTATCTGACTTGCTTTTTAGAAGTGGAATTTTCATACCTATAACAGATCTAAGTTCATCAAGGAAAAGAGAACTATATATTAATAATACTTGCTATTGGAATAGAAAAAATAATAAGTGGTTTTCCCTTTCTGTCTGCTTACAGAAGTCTACTCTGCATCACATTCACATGTATCTGTTTCCCGAGAAAGGGCCAAATATCATGTAACAGCTGAACACAGTACAACTCCTCATTACAGTTACATCTTTAAAAGGCTTTTTGCCAAGAAATCTGGTTTAGTATTCAGTTTTGGTGTTCACTTTTGTAGAAAACATATAATGTACCATTTAGTTTTTTAGAACAGAATTGATTAGCAAGTTATTTTAATCATTGCAAATGCTGCAGTTAGTAAAATTTTTAAAAACTCCAACTTCAGATACGCTAACATGCACTAAAATGATAATGTAGGACATATTTCTTAAAGTTTTTATGTAATAAACAGGAAATAAAATATGGTTTACATATTCACATCTATGCCATTTTAATACTCCATACTCACAACAGTTATTACAGTCATACAGCAGTACTATCTGGTGCCATCAGAGGCAGGCTCTGTGGGGTTGGAGGGAAGCAACCATAGCTTGTTTCCATTAAGTCACTTTAACTCAGTTCATTCCATGTTCTACTCAGCAACATCTATACATCAGTTCACATGGAAGTAAAATCATATCTTAGCAAAGCACCGTTCTGACGCTTCCCCTCCCCTCCTCACCACACACACACACACACACACACACACACACACACACACACACAGAGGAATACTATTCAGCCATAAAAAAGAACAGAATCTTGTCATTTGCAATAACATGGTTGTACATTGAGGTTATTATGCTAAGTGAAATAAGCCGAATGAAGAGAGACAAATACTATATGATTTCGCTCATATGTGAAATCTAAAAAAACAAACAAGTGAACAAATAAACAAAAACAAACATAGACGCAGAGGGCTGACTGGTGGTTGCCAAAGGGGCAGGGAGTTAGGGGTAGGTGAAATGAGTGAAGGGGATCAGTTGTATGATGAAGGATGGTAACTAGAATTTTGGTGGTGATCACTTTGCAGTGTATAGAAATATCAAATTAAAATACTGTATACCTGAAATGTATATAATGTTACATACAAATTTTATCCCAACTTTTAAAAAGAACATGTATTAATTATCATTAAGAATAATGTGCTTCTTCAGAGTACTAATCACAACCTTGGTCTTATATGAACATTGATAAATATGCTCCTATGTTGGTATGTTCTTAATCGACACAACCTGTGACTCACAAATATACCTCCATATCCATATCCTTCTTTACTTTAAACTTTAATACCTCTATATTGGGATACTCAGTAAGAATTTTTCACCAAAACACACATTCTGTAAGCCTTACCTGTTTTTGGTTTCTCTGAAGAGCTGAGTTTCAGATGTTGGTCTTCAGATAAAAGGCTCACATCAATACCGTACAGTGGATCATCCAAAAAAGAAGGCCTTTTCAGTCTTCCAATGCCAAGAGTCTTCGACATAAAATAGTCCTCTGTGTCACTAATAACCTCGTCGTTGGAAAACTGGAGGCATTTTATATTCTCAGCTTCAATGAGAAGAGCTTGTGATACATAATGCCCAGACAAGGCTTTGCTGAGATAGTAGCCTGCAGACATTTCACACTCTACAGCCTCAGGCATATCTGCATCTCCCATCTCAGTGCTTTTGACTTCTGCCTCTGGCTCAATGAGTAACTCGGAGGGGAGAGATCTGGGAAGCTGGGGAAACTCAGGTGTTATATTCTCAATGTCTTTCTTTTCTCTTTCTGAAGAAAGTCCCATCACAGATTTTTGTTTGAATGTGCATTCATCCAGAAGATGCCTTAACTGTTCCTCAGAGAGAAGTGATGTTGAATCTAACTGATGAAAGAAAAAAAAAAGTTTCATAGTCAACTGATTGAGTAAACATTTCTGGTAAGCTTCCAATAATACAGTATAAACCCAAGTGCCCAGAAACCCCTTACACAAAACACTCATATAGCAAAATCATTCATTTTAAGGTATCCAAAATTGCACGAGAAAGGTAAAAGATCCGTAGAGAAGAAGTTTAGAATCAATCACATGTTCAAACCTAGGGAAAAATCCCACAACGCTAATGGAGATGAATTATTTCACCAAATTAACCACTAACACTCTCTCTACAGATATCAGTAACTTGAACTGAAATGGAGATATTAGAAAAGCATCTTCAATTTATAAATCTTGGAACATCACACAGGGAAGTAAGCAACCACCCCTTGGATAAACTGCCAGGAATACTGCCATTATCTGCAGTAGGTATTTCCCTGTTCCCCACCCCCAGTCCTCAGTGTGAACCCCGTCACCACCCAAATTCCTTAAGGAAAAAAGTCTCAGGCAAACAGGACAGACTACACCTGCCCCTGGGGATTCATCACTCCTGTGTCTGCCCGCAACTTTCAGCAGACAACACCACTGCAGAAGGAAAAGGAAGGGTGAAGGGTGGTGCATCCTGTGATGCGTAGTTGCTTCAAAGTCCAAGGTCTACAGAGGCCAGGGGCATTCCGATAGCAGTGCATTCTGGGAGGAGGATGTATCAAACACATTTAACCTCAGCTTGTAAAGGCTATAAGGGCTGAGTGTTTCAACAAAGATCTTAAGGATTTAGAAACATTTTCTCTTTCAGAGATGTTCTCAGGAAATAAAATATGGAAAAAAAAGTGTAAGGCTATGTTCTACAAGGATTCAACTGAACAGCATGCCAAATGAATTGCAACAATCTCAAAAATGAATGGGATTAAAATATTGAATCACAATGAAAAAAATTACTTCTCTAAACAATCAGCACTATCCCTGATTTACCTCATGGATTGGCTAGAAAAACACTAGTCCTCCTTTACAAGGGAATGAATTACCAAAGAACGGGAAGTTCCCATAAGAAAACCTAAACATTAATTGCAATGGCCTTAATTTTTACTTCAAAAAAGTAAAACAATGCTATTGGCCTACTTTGTGGTACGCAGTATGAATTCTGATATTCTGCATATGTAACATATTTGGGGGGGACGTTGCTATTGGAACTAGTATAATCAATTCCTCATTATTTTGAAGTGCTTCTAATACCGCTAACAAAAAAAAAAATAGTATGTAAAACAAATTTTGCATCATGTTTTTAAGTTATATTTAACTTAAATTTAATTTCTATAAATTAAAAACTAGTTCTCATGGTGGCAAGTATCATTATAAGTTTGAGAGTAACAGGAAATTGTCTGGGAGTGTATTCTTAATAATTATCTGGGATTCAAAATTCACGTAATTCACCCTAAGGTTAACATACCTGTCAAAAAACAGGAATTGAATTATATATTCACAAATCCTACTTTTAATCACTAGACATTTCAGGCATTCAGAGGTGGTACTTTATCCATTATTAGGAGCAGTCCCTTCACCCTAGTATGTAAACCCAGTCAACTAAAAAATGAAGGCAGTCCATGTACGGTACTGGATACTTAAAATACACTTTCAAAATCTGCTTATATAAAATAGTTTATAATGAATAGATAATTCCCTAGGATTTAGAAAGGGTCTGCTGAATGTAATCCTCACCAAACATCCTCACTAAAAGCTTATCATATTAAATTACCAGATACCAGGGAAAAAACAGTCTGTACTGGGGCAAGAAGAAGAATTATGGAAGGGGTCTCTGCTGGGGGTAAGATCAGTTGATTATCTGATTTGTTTGGCCATCTCCACAAATAATAAGATAGTTGGTTGACAGTCTGATGATATATTTGGCTTGATACACAGAAAATTAAGTAAAAGTAAAAACGAACTATGAACTCTGTGAACAAAAAGCTGTATAAAAATGAAAGTGAGTTTCAGATAACACAGAAAAGTAAGCAAAAGAAAATAAGTATTAACTCTAGGACAAACAAAAGTTGTACAAGAAAGAATACCATAGGATACTACCTGCTTTTTCTATACGTAATATTTACACAGTCATCATAATATGATTAGTGATAATGGAGGTAACCAAAAATTATGATTTAACTATTTTAGGGGAATGAGAGGAGAGAAAAAGGATGTTTAGAGTAACAAAGTTAAATTGTTAGCTACTGTCACAGGAAGTCAATATATAATTGATGTAATAGTACAGCACCATTATTATGTTTTCATATCATTGTAAATTGATATAAAACTGATCCATTAAAAATACAAGTTATTATGAAACAACCTAGAGGTAAAGAGTAGGGGAAATTCTAAAGGAATTAAAAGTGGTTGACTCTGGAGAACAAACTAAGAAGTAGGGAAAAATGGGGCAAAGGAACTGCCATTTTTGTTTAAAACATTTCATCACAACTTTTTCATTATGTATTGTATTACTAAAATTAAAATTAACTTAAAATATAAAAATAAAATTAATTTAAATATATTCACATTTTTAATAAAAATTAATTTAAAAATAAAAATCTGAAATATTAAAATGATATTCCCAACCAATTATACCTTTGGGCATCAGAAGCAGATCCAGGTGAAGGACCCAAATTTGTAGCAAATTCCATGGTAGTTTTAAAAGCTGAGCAGCTGTATGGTGAATAACTGGGTATTCTTGACACTTGAATATGGAATATGTACACGAGGAAAGGAAATAAAGCACTGTGTAAGCACTGTATTGTAAAGTGTACAATGCAGTGTCTTAAATAAAACTATTAAAAATTGGCACACACAACAAAAAAAGGTGAGAGGCCTTAACTGGCTTCATAGTAAATCTGCTTCTGAGTGCTCCACGATAAAGCGTAACACATTTCAGTTTGTGTGGGCACAGAAATAAGCTCGACTACCGGCACCCTGACCCTTTGTGGGGAGAAGCCTGATGGGAAAGGAAACACAGACTACAACTTGGGCTTTGGCCCAAGCTTTGCTACCCTATGCACATCACCTAAGGAACCTACCTCCATCAGCTGGGAAATGAGGAGCGGCAGAAGACGATCTCTAAATTCACTTCTAGCTATTAAATGACTTTTTGATGAATAACTACTTTAAAATAAAAATATAAGAATAAGCTGTTCCATTGACATTAGAATATCACCTGAGTAGAATTGATGAAAACCATAACAAAAAGTGAACTTTGTTTCTTTAATTTCTTTACAATACTAATCCTGAAATCAAAAAATAACTACAAATTCTCTGGTCTCAAAACATTATAAGTAAAAGTGAACCAACTATATTAAGATCTCAAATTAAATTAATTTAATTACAGTGTGTCTGGGTGGCAGTATAGATCAGAACCCTCAATACAAGTCATCTTTCTCACTTTTTGATTCCCTGGAGAGCCTTGCCTAGAGTATAAATTTGGTAAGTCACTGCTGTGGGAATCAAAGGAATTAAGACTGCTGAGTGTTTTGAAATGGCCAAGTACTACATTAATATGTTAGTCACATATGCTGAACTGAACTAAACTAGGGCTGGATCACAAACATTTCTAACCACCCTTGATAGTTAAGGGACCGTAACACATTCCCTTCATCCAGATTTTTGAAACTCCGAGCTAGTGAGCTCCATAACTGAAAGACACTGTGGAAGCACAGTCAATTAACCATCTGTTCAAGTATTCACCTCAAAGTATTCCTCCTTCATGCCAGTTCTAATTTCCCATAATTCATAAACAAGTTATTATTCATGCTATTCCTGTCCTTCATAAAATTCATCAGAGTGCATCTCAGTCTGCACTTTCACAAACCAAAGCCCAATCTATTTTCTCTCCTTATATGAAAGCCCCTCTCTTCCCATCTTCATTTTAGAAGCCTTTTTATGGACCTTCTTTCTTGGTTTAGCCAAAATACACACATTCCACAGTCAAAGAGCAAATGTATTGGATTTTCTCATCAGGGAAAAAATGTAGAACACTTGTGGCATTGTTGCTCCTGCATTTTGCTGGTCCTGGTGGCACTCCAGGTGGTGTCTTACAGAATAGTAATAAGTAGCATTTATTAACCGCCTACTCCAGTGCATATTACATGTGCCAATTCATTTAATCTGCACAGCAAACCTGTGAGGGAGGTACTATTGTTAATTCTCATTTTAAAGATGAAGAAACTGAGAAATTAAGTAACCTGTCGGTGATCCATAGCAGCTGTAGCTACTATGTGGTAGACCTGGGATTTGAATCTAGGTCTGGGCCCAGAGCATATGGGCCTAACTACTAGGTACATAGCCTCTCTCTCTAAATGAGCTCTCCCTCTACCATTCTCTAGATATACTTTTCCCAAACGACATTCAATTTTTTGTCCACTCTTTCAGATATGAAAATACTTCCTGTAGACTATTTCACTTAACTTTGGTTTTTATTACCCAGACTAGCTTAGTGTCTTATGCAAACTTACATTGTGCCCTCTCTTTTGGCTCATTTCAGAAAAACAAAAAAGACAACCCCAGCTCCATTCCCAGAGTACCTACTGTTTACACTTCCCCACCCAGATAAATACCAGTTTGGTGTAGGAGCTAAATTTGATGAGTGGTGCAACTTGTAATTGCTGGAGGTGGGTCACAGGCTGCAGATTACCTCACCCGCGTCCCTGCCTCCCCTCCTACGCTATATATCTGGAGTTTCCCTAGCCATAAAAATCTCCAGTTATTTGGACCCTGAATTTGTTGACAAAGCAATTAAAATTATGTCTCTGGTGCAGATAATCAGAAAATCCACCACTATAAACAAGCAGAAGCAATCTTTTCCTTTGATGTAAGCATATGCCCAATGTTGGGTGGGTTTTTTTTCCCCACAAATGCTGAGTTCCTAAGGACCCACCCTATAAAGCTAATACGATTATCGCAAGTGAGAAAAGGGTAGAAAGCCAGAGTGTCCTAAATGATTAACAACAAAGAGTATAAATAGCTTTCAATGA